GAGCTGGGGGCTGAAATGCAAATATTATCCTTTTTCTGTGCCAACCCCCAAAATGGGCTGAACTTCCAGGGCAGGGGCAGCCACCACCAAAGCTGTCCCCTCACCCTGGAGTCACATCCATTCTTCAAACCATTTTGGTGTTGGTGATTCTTCAGCCCCGTTCTCCTCCCTGAAACCCCTCTTTCACCTCAGCTTTAGCCTCTGACCTGTTGCCAAGTGACATCACATTGTTGCTGTCATCTCCAAAGACCTTTTTGAAGCATAAAAGCAGCACCTTTGAAATCCCTCGCCCTTGATGCAGCTCCTGTTTTGCATTTCCAAACAGCCTGGCCCTGACACTGACACTTTATTTCACCTCCTGCAAGCACAGAGCATCTTCCTCCAAAGCACAGCAGCAAACAGGCTGGTGGGGAGGTGACTGGATAGATTAAATTAAATTAAATTCAAAGTGCAGGTACCTTGGTGCAGGAGCTTCTCATCACTGTGCATTTCAAAGCTCCCACCTCTCTCCCAGCTTTGAAACAATTCCCATCATCTTCCCAGCAGGTATCCCCTGGATTTCACTCAGCACAAAGAGTTTATTATTTACTGCCATGGCTGAAAGGAATAAAATACCTGATTTGACACAGTTCAGGAAAATTGCTTTATCCAATGACTGACCAAATCCTCTGCCTGCTCTCAGCAGGCTCCAAGCTCCAGTTCCTTATCTGTAATGAGGTGATGTGGAACACTGCAGACTGCTGCAGGATTATCAGATGGAGGCACAGATGTAAAACATTTATATTGGATATTTTAGCTGCTGCTGCTGTTGTGAGCTGCATCAAACAGCTCACAGATCACCCGAGCACCAGCACTGTACTTGCTATCTGATAAGGGCCAATAAACAAATTATCATTGGTACCACTATAATCTTGACTCAGGTGTTTATTAATAAAGTTTCGGCTATCCAGGAAAATATATTATTTTTTATTATGGCTGATAACCTCAGGCTCAGCTGGAAGTTTGTCTTTAATGTGCTATTAAACCTCAAGCCTATAGAACTGTTCAGTGTTAACAGCACCCAACAAACCCAAAGCCAACACTAACAAATCTTTAGGTGCAGTTTGCAAAGAAAATCAAACCTGAAGTAACTCTCCTACATGATCTGGGAAAGCACAAGCAAGAAAGCAATTAAAAAATCTGGGAAATAAATCAAAATAATAAAGAAAACCAAGGAGAGCCCAGCAGAAAGCCATAGGCAGCTTCAGAAACATCAATCATTATTTGTTTAGAGTTCATGTTGCAGCTGTGCTGTACAATCATTTTACCACAAACCATTACAAACAACAACAAAAAAACTGTTATGGAAAAAAATCCAAGTATTGACTTGCATAAACTAGCAGGAGCCTAACAAACAAAAGTCTTAATTATTGGAGATTAAACTTTTAACATCTCTATTTGATTAAAACAGCAGGGATTTGAAATCAGTCTCCACTAAGTGATTTTCTCATTTGCATTTTGTTCAGGTTTCAGCTCCACACAGGTGCTGGGGGTGTTTATTGACTCAAAATCCACCTGGAGCAGGCACAGCCTGGCAGGTCCTGAGCTGCATGGGAGGGAAAGTAATGAAGGGCAAATCATCCTTTATTTTTATTAAATAAAAATAACTTTTAATTCCTTTGGCTCCTCATCACACTCAGACCAGGCACACTTTGGGGTTGGGACCATGACTGCAAGTTTGCACAGCATCAAAAACTGAGCCTTTGCTGGTCCAGCCCTAAGAAACATTAATTAACAGCTAATTAAAGAGTGACATTTTCACTGTGTGTGGGATTCTCTACATAGTAATGAAAGCTGCAAATCTTATTATACAACAGGAAGGGAACCAGCAGTAAAACCAAGTTTCCCCAAAGAAGCATCTTCAAGGCTGCAAAAATCTCTTTTTATTTCAAATGCTCTAAGCATGGTCACTGCCCCATCTTGTGGGCTCAAGTGTCAGGAGGTAAAGCAGGACAGATGCTACTCTTTGAATTAGAGCACAGGAGCAGAAAATGCTCCATGTTCTTTAAATCAGCCCTCCTCGCACAACCTAAATCAAATCCCACCTGTCCCATCCCCACCACGTTCAGCAGTTTTAGGATGGGTTCATAACACTTGGGCTGAAACTGATTTCAAGCGTAAAATTAAGGCACTAAATTACATGAAGTGACAAAGAAGGGGAATGTTTGTCCTAGCAGAGCATTAAATGATGCATTAACCTTGTCCTTTTTATAGGAACACGTGAAATGTGCTCAAGTTCTGGCAGCACAAGGTCAGTGTGGTGCCAGAAACATCCTGAGCCTGAGAAAGGCCAAAGACCCCCTGGTTATTTTGAGTTTTTGCTCTGAGCAGCTCAAGAGTTGCTGCCTGTGGTATTTCAGAAATTAAAACAAAGCATTTGCCATTCTTTAGGTGGGAGAAAACAAACCTGTGACAATTTTCTTGTACGACACCAAAGTTCTTCCTTGCTGGAACACAGCAGCTCCTTTGTGCCTCACTTCTCTGAAATGGAGTTGGAAAATTAACAGCTCTTCCTCATGCTCTGAGGGGAAAAGGAGAGAAGTGTCAGTATTTAGGATTTATTGCATTCTGCAGAGCTCAGACACACTGGATATCCCTTCCTCCCTTCTAATTAAGTAGATACAGCTCAAACTGCCTCAGCTGGCACAGCAGCCACCAAGCCAAGAGAGAGCTCCTCTTTACATTGCCATTAATAGCTGGGATGTATTAATTATAGTAATTTATGTCTTTGCATGAGTGATTACTCTCGTGCTGATGTAGATATGATTGCTTTACAATACTAATCAAGAAATAAGGATGATAACAAGCATTTATGTGAAACGTGAAGCTTGTGATTTAGTGAGGGATCAGCGAGGCAGCTCTGCCCTGTCGATCCCTCTCCTCCTCCTCCACAATTCCAGCCCCTCTCCATCAGCTCCACAGCCACAACACGTATTTTGGGGATAATCTTCATATTTTCTCTCAAACAGTGATTTGAGACATGGCATTGCCATCTCTCTTATTGCTAAAAGTTGGCACTCGGCCATTCTTTGCTTTGCTGCATATTTTCTTTCTTTCTGCTTTAATCTTTTCATCTATTTTAGATTTATCCGGGGGTTGTTGGCTGCTGTTGAGTGCCAAAGGGATTCCTGCCAACTGTTCTTTTTAAACCTTTAGAAAATCCAAAATAATTGTGTTTTAAAACCAGATTTTTGTCTGCTGTTTATTCCCCAACACTAAGTTTTAAGTGCTCCAAATGTAATCAAAACAGAATGGTTTTATTTCCGCTCCCCTCAAGCGCCATGAAATGATCTGTGCTCCCCTGGAAGATCACAGTAAAATGTTGAGGACACTTGTTTTGTTTGAAAGGCACCATTTTCTAACAGAAATAACACTTTTCCATTCATTAATCTCAGCAAAAACCCAGCCTGTTAGAGGATCCCTGCTGAGGAACTTTGGTTTTGATTAGAACAATAAAAAAGTGATGCTAAAATGAAACTCATGAATACTTCTCTCCAGCAGATACCACCAACTGCACCCTCAATAAACCCAGATAAATTCAGTATTTAAGTTTTCCCAGACCAATTTTGCTCTGTTTCAAAGAGAGTTCTAACACTAGAAAGCAAGAATTATAAAACAAGTTGCAGCAAACCTTCCTTGAGCAAATTAAACAGCTCATTAAACAATTTGCTGGTTATTTCTGTTTGCTGAGGGCATGTGGCTGCTTTTACCTTCATGGTCTGCAGATTCACATTTTAAAAAAATGGTGGATTCCTCGTGCTTTTTGCTCACTTTACACCCATTTTTATTCCCAGTGCATGTTTTAAGAAATATCAACATGTTCTAATACACAAGCTCTTAAAAGCAGGCAAAAATAGTGTTGTTTCTTTAAACACTGGGAACAAAATGTAACTTCAAATTTTATTTAAACCTGTTCCTAATACTGCTTGAATCCTTTCAGATAAAGAGCAACTGATTAATTCCAAACATGTTTTACCTACTCCATTGCCCAGGCTGAATGTTTTTTATTAAGCTCTGGATGTATTACAGTGACAATTATGGGAAAAAAAATCCAGGTTAATTTACCTGCATGTTTTAGAACCAGGTTTCTCTGAAAAACACTTAATCTTGTTATTTCTGAGCACTGACTTTAAGAGAAATTCCTGAAATTCTGCATTTAATGCAATTTATACATATTCAGAGCCACCTCTGCTTTTGAAGGGACAGGGACACTGCCCTGTGATGCCTGATGAGCAGCACCAACTCACAGCACCTTTCAGTCAAAATAAAAATTGAAAGCAATTCAGATCTTCACCTGGAATCCAGTGAAGTCAATTCCAAACTCTCCCACTTGGAGCTGTTAAACACTGTGATCCCACCTCGGCAGAGTGACCATAGGCTCATGGGGAATTAAGTTTAATTATGAATTAAATTTTGCAAAGAACAAAAAGCTTTTGCAAAAACCACACCCTTAAATCTTCCACTTGCTGACACCAAGTGGGCAGAAGGCTCAGCACCATCAGTTTGGATGTTTAGGAGCACTGAAGTGCTGTAACCTGCCAGCTATATTGACATAATTAAGCTAATTGGGAGTTTTGGCCTCAAATGCTGGGTTTTAACTTGTTTAAAGCATCTCCAAGTTCCCAAGATTCCCCCAACTCTTGAACTTTGCCTCTGCAGGAGAGTTTAAACTCAGGTTTGAGATCAAAGTGACAAACAAGCCTGCAAACAAGCTACAGATGCAGCTGCCTTTGCTGCTCAAGAGTATTTAAGGGCTGATCTCTGCAGTAATTACACTCTTGGTGTCTTGTTTAAACTCTAATTACCACACTAAACCCTACTGGCATTATCTGCAGTAAACACTCTGCAATCTGGGTACATCTTCACCATTTTACAGCACATTGTAGGAGTGCTCAGTGTGTTTATTAAAAATGTGCTGCAGAATGCAAAGTCATTCCTTAGTGCAGTAAAGTGACAGAACACAGTGTTTAAAAAATACTTTAATAATGTATATGTAATAAAACACTTTAACTGTCACCACTTTGTAACAGGCAGAAAAATGTGTCTACACGAAATCCTCAAGTGTTTTGTCAAGCTCAGGTGTTTTGTTGGAGTCCTTCTGCTTCAGAGACATTTCCAGCAGCACCACCTGGAATACAGGAGCAGGGTCAGGAAACCAACCTTAAATCATCATTAATGGATTTGTTAATGAGTGAGATATCATCAGAAAACCTTTTGCTCACCACCAGTCAATCTGCCGGTAATTCCAGCAAGTTTGGGTTAGTTTCATCACATGATATCAAAGGGAAACTGGTACATTTGTGGCAGAAGCAAGACCTTTATCCCTTTGTCTACAGCGCAGAAACAGCTGCTCTTACACATTTACTGCCTGTATTTTAGTCCAAGTTGTTTTTTTTTGGCCTAAAACTTCATAAATTATACATTTAGAGCAGAAACATTTCTGCAGAAAAAGCCACCACGTGCAGCTAAGAGCACAATAAATAAACTCACCCAGCACTGTCCTGCTCTGCTGTGTCAGTGCCCTCCACAGGACTCGTGAAGAGCTGTCACTTCAGTGGGTGCACATCAACAACCAGCACGTGGCAGCAGAGACCTGCAGGCTCTACCTAAATACAGCAGGAAATAAATATCAGACACACAAAATTATGGAACACAGGTGAAGTGAGAATACACATCTCGAGCTCCCTGTATCCTATAAACCCCATTCTAAATTTACACTTCAGCTGGTACAGAATTCTACACAGTGCACTGAAACCCATCACTCACCTGCACATCAGGGCCAGCTCCCCACCTGTCCCCTGTCCTCTTGTGTCACATCCACGTGGGAAGCCCAGGCTCTGCAGAGGGAAGTGGGACAGAAGGACACAAAGGTGAGATGTTTTCTTGGAGAGCAAGCATGGTGGATTCTAGAGGATGAATTTCGATGTCCAAGCTCCTGTGTGTAGCTGCATTTCAGACCAGAGTCAGGGTATCGTCAGTTCTCGCATCTGACGGCACTTCCTATTCAGGGTTATCATCATCAACAGCCATTAATTAACTCCTCTAATTAATCACTCAAAACACTAGCTTGTATCTCAAACACTCGTACAATCTCCCCTCTGTGTATGAAGCATTAACTCTTAACTTGTGTGGACACAAAATCAGTTTTATTGAGTTTTTATTTAACTTAAGATGTAATTTGCACAAGTTATTTTTCACTTGTAAAGGCCTGGAACCTCTTAAACAACTTTGCACACTTTAATTTATAGAAAAAAAACCAAAACCTTTACCTTGTTCTTTACTTCAAGACATCTTCCTGCTGTGGAAGTAAAACCAAGAGAAGTATTAATAGAATACTCTTCAGCAGTATAAAGTAGATTTATACAGGGGAAAAACAGGAACAAAACCAGACCCTCGTGCCCAACTCTGCTTGTGCTTCCACCAGTGTTTATGTCGATATGAATCACTGGAATATTTATATCGGACAGCTATTAGTAGTCAGCATTCCCCTCTATATAATTTTTAATCAGGAAATTTATAATTATATAAATTCAAAGTAGCTGAAGTGTGCAGCTCGCAGGATTGCATTTATCAACAGGGCGATTTTCAAATTGAAATCGCAAACATTCCAATGCTGTAGGGTGTGATTTTCGATCACACGGAATGGGCCTGGCACACCGAAAAATCAAATAAGAGACCAAATTGCTGAAACAGCGCCATAAAAACCGATGGCCGGCGCTGGATTCCGAGCGCTCCCCACAGCAGCGTTACCTGCACGGCCCTCATGGAGCTCCGGGCAGGGCTGTGCCGGCAGCGTGTGAGCCCCCCCCACACACAGCCGAGCCCGGCAGAGCCCTCCCGACTTACCGGGGAGGATCTTCCACAGCCCTGGCGGGGTCCCGGCGCTGCCGGCGGGGTCGCGGTGCCGGTGTCGCCTCCATGGTGGCCTGAGGGACAAGGGCCGTGAGCCGCCACGTGCCGCGAGGCCGCGGCCCCCCCCGCCCCTTCAATGGTGCGGCCCGGTCCGCGCGGCCCAGGCAGGCCCGGCGGCCGCTACCACTGCCGAGCTGGGGGAGCAAAGGCTTTAGCTCGCTCACGGGTACGGGCGCTCTGCTCGGCAAGCCGGGCCTGCGCCTCCCCGCTGCTCGCCCGGCAGGCCCCGAGCCCAGCTCCAATCGTCCGCACCTCACCCGCTTCAAGGGCACGAAGGAAAAGGCGGGAGTGCTTTCGGCGACCGCTTATAAAGACTTGGGCCGTACCACCCCGCGGCGGGGGTGGGCAGTGCCATGGCTCCACAGGCGGGGGTGCGCCGAGGCTTCCATTTCCTTCCGTGTGGGCCAGGAGCGAGCGGAGCCCCGGGGATCGCTCAAACCCCAGCCCCAAAAAACCCCAAACTGAGCTCACCCCAAAACCAGCCCGGCTTTAGGCACCACCTGAAGGTAGAGAGAGGCGACAGCCCGGGGCGGGGACCCTCGTGCCGCCCCCGGCCGGGCACAGCCCCGGGGAGCGCCGGCCCTGCCCTGAGCTGTGCTTGTTTTTCCAGGAAAAGTGGAGAGGTCGGAGTGATTTCAGGCCACTTTTATTTAGAACAGAACAGCTGTTTTTAAATAAAAGTTCCACTCTTTTTACATTGTGTCATCTTGAACTGAACACAGGGTGTTTCGGTTTCCTTTTCCCTGCTAAATGCATCAGCCATCCTTTTAAAAAGAAACACAAAGCCACCTTTGCGTTAAAATTTCACCCTCCACGCCACGTGTTCAGCCAGCCTGAAGAACTATTTATCAAAAATCCACCTTTTCCAAACTGCAAAAACTTCCTACGAGAAGGAATAGTGTGGTGCTGTAACAAATCACCTAAAATTCAGTTTTTCCTCTGGAGGCACAGACCCTCCAGCAAGAGCCAAAGCCAACATTCTCCTTTTTTGCAATTTTAAACATGAACGGATTTTAGTGAAATATACAGGTCATCTGTGTCTCCCTATCAAACATCAATTTCTGCATCAAATCACTGTAGCTGATGATATTTGGGAGGTGAGTTAAAAAATCAAGAACACATTAGCTAAGGACTAAACAGCTGAACACAAAGAGAAGGGGACTTGCAACAAAATTCTCTTTGCAATCTCTCGATCAAATAGATGGAAGTTAAAATGTTGAGGAAAAAGCACTGACTTAAAATTCAGAGTTCATTTTTAATTACCAAATCTCAGAATTTCTTGCTCAGGTAACTAAGGAAGCCCAAACCTGGAAAGAATTCCCAATACCAGCACTCTTCAAGGCTTCTCTGTACATCATAAAAAAGCAAAACCAGGCACACTCAGTTACAAAACCCTCTCTCTACAGGTCTCTTAAACCATAAATCTCAATTTTTCTTGCAGCTAAGCAAGCTCCTGTGGGCTCAGTATTACACATAACCCCCCAAAACCATAAAACTACAGTCCTGACCAGTGTGGGGGAATTTTTAAGGCGTATTTCTGACAACCTGGAAGACAGAAGTGGAGTTAAGGGTGCCTTTTCCTGAAACGCAGGTCTGTGCTCGATTTCACACATCTTTTATATCAGCTAAAGAGATCCTCTATTCCCATTAGTTTATCCTTCACCAGGCTTAAATTAGGAATACTGACATGGGAACACCATCCAATGGTTCCCAATAATCCAGGAGTTTTGGTGGAGGAGGTGGATGATTCCTTTCAGGAAAAGGAAAGGTCCCAGTGGATTCAAAGCAGTGACACAATACAAAGATTTACTGGCAAAAAGACATTGGTGAAATCAATTTTATCAGGATCTGGAGAGATGGGTGTGGTTCTCTGGGAAAGCTTGGGGAGAGGATATTAATGAAAGCACACGTTTAAAATGAGTTATTACAGTGATCAGACATTGCAGGCGTTTCTCTCAACAGTACTTTTATGAGACATTTATATATTCAATAATTAAATATAAAATCAAGGATGAATGTCCCAAAACAAGGAAAGAGTAAGGCTTGAAGCCTGGCCAGCCCCCAGCTTGCCCCTCCAGTCGCTGTGCCTGTCATTTGACCTTTCATTTGACATATTGCTATCCTCACACATCATAAAGCGTAAGAAAAGTTAATTTTGCAGATTCCTTGCTGAAACCTCAAACCTACTTCAACTTAGTACAAAAACAGGGAGGGGGCAAAAAAAAAAAAGGAAAAATTTGCTTGTTAAAAAGCAGAAATGGGGAGAGAAGTTCAGATATTTTGGACTGACAGAACCAAGGATCAAGGACAATGCAAACAGATTTCAGAATATTAAAATGGTTTTGCTACCTGTTGTTTACCTGAATGTGATGTGCTGCATTATTCCTCACTCAGAATTACTGGCAACATGAGAAAAAAAATAGCAGTTGCACATTGATCAAACCCTTGTCCTACCCAGGGAGGGATGAAAATGTGCAGATAAAAAAGCTGAATGGAATAAGTCACCCATGTCCACATCCACGTGTACTATACAGGAAGAACATCCAAAGTATTGACAGGAGACAGTGGTTCTAAAGTTTTCTTTTTCTCTTTCACTTCTATATAGATAGAGAACAGCACAGAGGAGAACACACTAGAACTTTCACTGTGACCAACAGCAAGATTCTCACAAATATAAAAATGTTTTCCAGCTGTTGGATTGCTTCAGGACATAATCCAGGTGGAATGACAGGAATATAATCTCTCCTCGTGGAAAAATAGCAAAAAAAAAACAAAACCCAAACCCTCAGGGATTTACACAATTGTCAAACATCCACTTTGGGAGTCCTGAATATCTCAATCCCTGCTACAGCAGAATGTGGCATCACCAAAATAAATGAGCAGGATTCCTTGGATTCTGGTGGTGCCACTGGGATAACTACATGGATTTTAACTGTAATAAAATGCGTAACCTGGATTTACATTCAGTGTGTTGGAAGAAGGGAATGTGATAATCAATCCCTTCATGCTTTATCCTTGCTGGCTGCCCACCCAGGAAGCTTTATTGTTATTACTTCAAGAGGAAAGGAAAAGTGCTGGTAAGAGCCAGAAGGGCAAGGCAATGATCTGGATCATGAAATGCCCTGTTCTTTGGATGAAGTGTGTAAAACATTTTGTTAAAAGCCTCCATGATGAAAATATCAAGAACAGAAAAGGTCTCCTTAAAATACAGAGCATTTCTGTCTCATTTTTTAAGTTCAAAGCTTGGGGGAGAAAATGTTTTGCTACAATTCACTACAGGTTTGCTGTCATCAGCGGAGATGACAATGCCCTACGGAGCACAGGGCCAGCCACAGACTCCAGAAAAACAGCTTTGCTTTAAGTTTCAAGTGGTTTACGCCTCTCTTGTTGTAGAAAAGGAACAGAGACACTTCTGGAACCTTCACTGCAGAGTCTTTGCCAGTGTCCAGCTTTTGGGCAAAGGGGATCCTGCCACGCTGCGGAGTCACCACCAGGAGGGTCAGGCTGTGAAAACAGTCATGATTCAGAGTCTGAGCCAGAGCTGCTTTCCCGGCTGATCTCGATTTGTAGGGAGGGTAAATGATCCAAGCGACTCTTTTTTTGCCTGGACTGTTCTTTCTCCTTAATGAGAGCACCCCAAACCCTCTGCAGCTCAGAGTCATCCTCCTCTGGAGATGCCACAGAGTTTTCAGCTTTCTCTGGAGTCTTTTCCTGTGTCTTCGGAGCAGACCCCAGTCTGGTCCATAAATTACCTAAGCAGATGAAAAACAAACATTTTTAAAAACCCAAAACAGACAGGACTGAGAGGAAGAAGTCAAGGAACCAATTCTTAAACTCACTGCAACTCTTCAAACCCTTCATACTCCTCCCACCTTACTATTTAGCATAGAACTGATTATGCTTTGAAGAGTAATTGAAATTAAGGTGCAGGAGGCTCAGGGCAGCCTTGTTCATTGTTCCCTATTTGCAGAGGATGTTTAATTCACATCTGAAGTGCCTCTGCATTCCTGACACTTGTTTTGGTGCCCACAGTTTGAAAGCAGTCTTTGATCTTCAGCACACCTCCATAAAAATACTGCTCCCAAAAACCCCCAGCTCCTCCCTACGTGTATTTAGATTTCAAAGCTTTGAACAAACATTTGCTAATTTATCCTGAATTTCATTCAGCATCAACCCTTCATGGCTTTCTGCCGGAATTTCTCTTAGACTCCAAACCCAAAGGAACTGCAGCAGGACATTTTCTGCACAGAACTAACCTGATTTCTTCTCTCTGGTGTCAGAGTAGAGGCCTTTTACATCTTGTTTGGGGATTCCCAGCCTGCTGTGCACATCTGAGATTGGTTCTCGACGAGGAGCACAGGTACTGCTTGGAGCTTTGATTTCTGGAGAGTGTGGCCTTTTTCCCAGTCTCTGCCTCACATCTGGGGATATTTTCAGGGATTAAAATGACAAAAAAAAATAAAAAAATCCTGTTGCATTTTCTCTACCTCTGCCAGCTCAGTTTATGCTCATTCACTACTGAAAGTAGACAGATTCTCTGTTTTTATATTTTCTTTAGTTTTTTCATTTAAGTCTTTCGTACTCAGATTTCCTGGCAATTTCTGCAATACAATTTAGCCAGATTTCATTTCAATTTTGGCAATAAATTTGACATTTAATGATTCAAGTTGTGCTCTGTCCAAAAGATAAAAACCTAACTTATCCCATGGCCTGCTGCTTTTCTGGTGCAGCAACAGAGTGTGTAAATATCCAGAAGGAGGTAAAATTCCATGAAAATTGTTCTGCCTTCAACAATTCAGGTAACAGATACCTTGATTTAGAATTCTACCACTGCTTGGTATTTGGCAGAATAAAATAAAAAGAATCCTAAAGATATTGATACTTAACCCTTGATGTGAATTTTGTATTCTGAAGTTTGTCTGGCTTAGCTGGATGTTCCCAATCTTACAGGGGGTCCAGACATAAATACGAAGGCAAAGGGAATTTCAGGACCATGTATAAGCTTGTCAGAGGCCCAAAATGGGCAGGAGAGATAAAATATACAAACATAATTTTGACATTTCATTCATACAAAAAGGTATTTTTCACTTATCAGTCAGATAATATCACATATGTCAGAAGCAGCTGAAATTATACATGTTTAAATCAAATAAGTTTTTGAAGCTCAGAAATAAATCCTGCCAAATTCAAACACACCCATTTTCATGTAATACACATTTTTTGTGTATTTTTGTGTATTTTTAAGTGTAGTGTTTCACATTTGATTTTACCTTCCTTGTGTGCTGTTTCTCAGCTGCAGAGAATCTCTGCCTCAAGGAGGGAGCAAATAAAAAAGGACAAAGTGGGGGGAAATTGGCACAGGCAAAGAAAATGGATGGAAATCGACATCACTGAAAAAGCTTTCACTAAAGTGTACTTGATTTTTTCCCCAAAGCAATTCTTAACTCAATCTCTTAGTGAGGACAAAGTGTGTGAAATAGATTTTAGTGTCAATTCTGCCCAGGAATGAGTGATAAAATTACCTGATTTGACAGTGCTGTTTGTCTGCCGTGGCCCAGAGTTATTCTGACGTTTCTCTTCCAACAGGAGCCTCACATCTGCAACTTTCTCCAAGGATCCTTTGCTGCCAATCCTGTTTTTGATGTTGCTGGTGGCTATGCTATCTGCTCGCATGGAATTCCTAAAAAAAAATCATAGACCTGATGTCCTCTAAAGAAAATTCAATCTAGTATCATTCTTAAGGCTTTTTATATGGAAAATTACATCACAGAAAATAATAAAATCAGGATTTCTCTGCTGAGAAAAAGAAGTAAAAACAATGCTTAGAAGCTGTTCAAGCCAGAATCCTAAATATAACAATAATTCCACAAATACCTGAGTATCCATTTCAAGGCATCATCAAAATTGTTGACATTTTAATGAGTATAACCACCCTAGTGAAGGGACACGTTATTTTATTCATCTACCATATATACAACTTTAGTTAGTAAGCCCACTGTGAACATAAATTCTTTTTTGTCATCAGCAATTGAGGGTTATTTTTCTTTCTGAGATAAAGAGTAAGGGGCAAAGAGAAAACAGAAAGAGGAGTTATTTTTCCCTGTTAATTGCAGTAGTTTGCATAAATTTCTCTTGATTCTACTTTGAGTTTCATTATTACTAATAAGCAAGGCTAGAGAGATCTGCAGAAGAAGCTTTATTTAAAAAAGTGTTAATTCTATTAAAAGCCTGGTTTCTGTATTTCTTGTTAGAATATCTACAATAAAATTATAATAAGAACTGAAAAACAGCTTCAAGTTTGTCTTCAAGCTTTGATAGCTCTGTCACTAAAACCAGGAAATGCCTCTTCACTGATGATTTTAAAGACTAAGAAACTTTTACCTAATGTTTTTCAGCTGTGACTCCACCTCATCTGCATACATGGTCATCTTCATGCTTTTTTTGGGCGAGGGGGTGGAAATCATTTTCAGTTCCAGGTCATAGTCCATCTCATCCGAGTCCGAGGCGCTGGCGCTGGATCTCCTCGCGGTGCTGCGCTCCCGCGACTGCTTGAAAGCCTGCAGCTCATCCCGGTACTCCACCACCACTCTGTCATCTTCATCCATGTCCTGATCCTCCTCCTCCTCCTCCTCCTCCTCCCCCTCCTCCTCGATGGGCTCTTCAGGAACATTTACCAAGCCTGCAGCAAAGCAAACACATTCTGATCAACTGAATTTTAGCATCTCTAGAAAGTACTCGAAAACCAAACCAAAAAGAAAATCACTTCGCTGTAATAAATGATCTCCTATAGATGAATCTGTAGTTGTTTTAGCTCTCTCTTCTTAGAGAGAATATTTTGACAAATATTTTAAGTGGACTAAAACTGCCACAGGACAAAATGTCCCTCGTGTTCACTTCCTCAGAGGCCTGGCCAAGCACAAAGCTGGACAGAGTAATTAAAGTACAACTGCCTCTTGTGGAAGGTGCAGTTCTTCCTTCCTAAGCTAAGCACAATTCCCAGGATCTTACAGGGTTCAATGTGCCAGCTGCTGGCTCTGCAAAAATCCTTTCAAGTCCTGCAAGCAGCAATGCCAAAAAGAACACGAGTGTCATTATTATGAATTTATCACAGACACTGATTTAAATAGAAACAACTTCAATTTAGTCATCACCAGCACTCAGACATCTCTTCAGACAGCACTACATGACCAACATGGAAAATCTTCCATGAGATTCGACACATCCATAGCTATATTTTTAACAGGCCAATCACACTGTACTTGTCTCATATCAGGTTTTTACACCTATTGTTCTTCTACCTTAGGCAGCAGATGAAGATATACAAGCCTAATTATTTAGTAGAATTTTCTCATCTCTGTTGTTTTACATTTAGAGATTGCTTTTTAGAGACTGGGAGAATTGACTTAGCAAGTATGACAAATTGCCAGGAAGGCTTTTTCCTTTTTTCACCCCTTCTTTTGGCCTTTGATGCCACAGTCCCCATGCCCTAAATTTGTAAAAGAAAAATGTCACATAAAAACCAGCAGCTATTTTGGGAAGCAACGAGCAGAATCAAGTTTCCGCCTCAGGAATTTCCTGTAAACTCTTGCGATTCAGATTTATTTTTTTAAGAAAATTTCCACACATCCCATGGGATTGGTGAGACACTGCTCCAGATCCTGCCCAGCCCTCCGTGTCCCAGTGTCCCCACAGGGCTGTCCCAGTGCCACCAGTACCAGAGTGCCGATGTTTATAGGGAGGAGTCAAGCCCACATCGTCGCCAATCAGCGTCCTCTTCTTGATCACATCCCGATGGATCCGCCGGGAATGGTACCTCCTCTTCCTGAAAATCAGAGAGAGGATGACATTCCTGCCACAGGAATTATGGCTCATTCATTAAGCTCTAAATCCTGGATGAAGGATATGCAATTATCAACTACTTTAACAGCAGACACATATTTACGTCAAATCTGTTTTGAATATAAACTTCATTTTCATGAGAAAATTGTCCCCTTATAATTCACACTCACATTGCAAAAACATTATTTACACTGAAGCATCTACATAAACTAAATAGAAAATCCACAAATTAAACCAGTTTTAGATTAGCTTGTCCAATTACCTGCAATGTTCCAATTCCTCTGTCCAACACTCACCAAGAATTGCTAAGAATTCCTTTCATGCCTCCGTAATTTGGATTGCCATATTTCATGTAATACTGGCTTCTCCTTGCAGCTCCCAGCTCCTTTTTGTCATCTGCAAAAAACAAAAACATAGGAATTTTCCCCTCTTAGAGTATAACTTACAGCACAGCATAAAAATAAATAACCATCCAAAGACAGACAGTGAGACTGAGTGTGCCTTAAAATCAGAATTACTTCACCCTCTTCCACGAAGGATTCAATTTTGCTTACACCTCTGGAATTTCTGCTCCCACCACAGCTTTATCTGTGTCTAGAAACTTAATTCCAGGGAGACTGGGTTTCTACAGATCAGCTTAACAGGGCATTACATCCTCCTGTCACTGCTGGAGTTTTCACTCTCCTTCCTCATCACCTTTCTTTTCTTAATGAATGTGCCACTTCCTTCATGGTCCAGAAATTATATGGATTTCCATTTTATTCATTAATAAAATGAGTGTTTAGCAATAGTTTTTACTAATCCCTTATTGGCATCTCAAGTTATATCCATATTTATAAAATGTGGAATTTACTTCTGGAAAAAGGCATCATAAAACCTATGCCATGGAATTGGGAAGAATGCCCTGAGCCCAAGATACAATTTCCAGGTACAAGAATTTTTATACAGCTTGAACTGGATATAATTGACATTTCCACAAGAAATGTAGATTTATGGCAAAATCTTAACACCTAACAATCAGCAAAAAAATAACACTTTTAAATAAGAAGTAGGCACTTAGAGTCATTAATTAGTCAACAAATAAAACTACAACAAGCAATGAATTTGGGGTGCTTGTTAAGGTGGTCATTTACCTTTAGTAGCAAATCTCATGAACAGCTTGTTTCCTTTAGCCAGTTTATTGGCAGGGCGAAGGTCATTACGCAGGAGAGAATCCTCTTCTACTTGGGAGAGGGCATCCAACTTTGGGGGCAAAAAAGGTATTTTGGACTCAAAAATCAAATGACTGTTGAACAAAAATAGGTTGCTTACAGAGAAGCAATCAAGTGATTATGAAGAAAGTCACTTTTCAAATGATGCTCAAATGAGCTCTGCTTTTTCTTCTTGACAAGCTGACGTTAATTTTTAATGTAAATTGCCCTGAAAATTTAAAATATATCCTTCTCTTGCTCCATAACATTAACTCAGGTTATTAAATCCAGTAATTGTCAAATGACTCCATATTACTGACTGAAATACACAAAATAAATAGCACAACTTGGACACTGATTTTTTTTTTTCCATTTCATATCTAAATGATTTTATTAACAGGTTTTCATGCCTTCACACAATGATTAAAAAAAACTTCCTTTTTCATTTATAGCTGCTTTATAGAAACTCAAATCCAGACTTCCATGATGTAGGAGTATTCACTGAGCCATTCCTAAAGGAAATCCTAATCACACCTATTATTCCCTCAGCCAGTGAAGATTAAATTGCTGCCAGGACATCACTGTGTGTGCTGATTCCCACAGATCCATGGGCAGCCTAAATCCCATCTAAGCACTTTCCCAGCTGAAAGGTTGTTGCTTTCCATTACTGTTCTATCATTGCCTCCTCTCATCAGAAAAGAGAAGCCAGGCTCACTCTTAAATGCTCCAAAATCTTTTTTCACAAAGCACTTTACACTGAGATTATCACCACCTGCACCCCATCTCACTCCCCACCTAATTTATTTTGATAATTAAATTGTGAATTGCAAATAGAAACCTAAAATGCTGTGAAAACTTCACACCAGCCAGAGCAAAACTTCCACAGCAGAGTTTCCACTTCCCCTCTGTACTGACCTCCACATCACTGGGATTGTCATCCTCAACCTCGCCTTCTTCTGTCTCATCATCAGAGCTTTCCTCCTGTTTTTCTAAGGAAAATAATTGGGGAACAAAAAACAAAACAAAGCCAAGCTCCATTTTAGTGTCAACCTCATTTGATTTATGATCACCTACATTGTCTGAGATCAGCCTGAGGTGCTCTCCTTTCCCCTGAGCAGCCTAGGGAATAATCAAAGCAGGGAATGCCTATGGAAAAGTGGAGCACGGTGAAATTCAGAGCTCTGCGCCTGCAGCAGCACATGTGCATCATTAATTTAATTCTTTGAAAGCAAATGAAAATGCACTGCCTGTCAGGATTTAGTGTGTTCAAAATCAGAGATCAGCAAGGCCAAGGCACTAAAGGCACATAAAAGCATTTCCTTCCACCTCCTTTTCAAATATCCAATACTGACAGTGTAAAAGAGGTTATTAATCAAAAGCTTAGAGATGGAGAGTAGCAAAAAGAAAAAAACCCTAACCTTAGTAACTTAATTTTAATGTGAAATAACTAAAAAATAAGTGCATGCTTCTAGAACTGCTGAAATTGCAAGCTGCTTTGATTTTTCAGTTCTCTTTAGCTCAGTGTAAGAAAATTCATGCTGATTTTTTTTACCAAAGTCCCCAGGAAATAAAATATTGTAAAAAAAGTAATGACTGTGGACAGCTATGAATTGTTATGATATGCCAATATCATTTGCAAAGATCTCAAAGTACTTCATAGGCCTAAGATTAAAAAATCCTCTCTTTCATATTTTAGAGTTCCTTATCTTAAATCTCATCCAACAATAGACTTAAAAACTTAAAATAGAGAGTGGCAGCTGTTCAAAAGATCCTGAAAATATTCCTGAGTGAAAACAATAAAGCACAATTAACCAAACTGAAACCAAAGAGAGAATTTAAGTAAACAAATTACCCAAACCAGAAAAATTAAGTTCAATCAGGGAGAGTATTCATGCATTTTTCTCCCTCACTATTTTGAAGTTTCTCATAGCACAGAAATGTCTAAATGTCTAAACAGCCCTGAAATTCCTATCTAAAAAAAAGGAATGTAACCAAGCCAGATGACTCCGGGGTATCTGTATGGATCTCACACCTTAAGATGTAATTGAACACTCTGTACTTTCTCTAATATCCCACTTTTCCAGAGGAACAGGAGTAATTCAGATGACAGTTCTTATTTTCAGATGGGGTATAATGATAATATAATATGCAATTCATAGCAAGCAGGATTAAATATATATGTTTATGCTCCATTTAAGCAATGTCCCTAACCTCCAAAAATTTCATAACAAGTCTTACTTGAAGCTGTATTAACATTTGTCATGACAAAATTAGTCATGTGGATGGTTGAGAAGCCACTGCTTTGTGGAGAAAAGGAGCAGGAAAAGAGGGTGAATTAGAAGAATCTTTAAGTTTAACAAAGCCTTAAATACCAAATTTCCCAGAAAGGTTTTTGGAAGCACTGCAGATATCTATCAGAGAAAATGGCTACTTGCATTTCAGTCATATACAGCATTTTTAAGCAGAATCTATGGAAAAGTTAATAAATCTAGCAATTTTTTGCTCTGTATCGTGATAGATTACCTCCAACCACAGCACTCACAGCAGCCTAAGAGCAAAACCATCCTCAGGTAGCAAAATGCTGCTTTTAAACTTTCTCACATAAAAGGAAAATAAATTTACAACCAAGGCAGTCAGGTACCAGACTGATCACGACACTGAGATGTACTTTAGCTGCTCTGCTCTTTTATAACCAACCTTTTAATAACTTCTTTCTTAAAAGGATAACAGCCAAATTTAGAGCTGATACACACCCTGGTGAAGTGATGCACTGTCACGCTGCTGTGAGGGTTATACTTGAAGGATGGTGGTGCATCAAAAAGGGAATTAGCTGTGGTATTTCAAAAATAGGCCATTTTCTCACACCTGCTTTTTGCCCGCTTTGCTGCCTTTGTAGGCACATCACACAGAGCTATTTCTGTGCACATGTCCCACTATAAATACCAGCTCTCAGTATCATCCTCACCTAACACGTTTAGTATCGACTGAATTTCTGCTTTTGGTCTAGCTCCAACCCACCTTTTAAGAAGCAGCTTCTTCAAAAGGTTTCCAAGATGAAAGCCTTTTTTAAAGTGGCAGAATACATTTACCTGCAACTATATGATAGAAGCTCCTTCAGTAATTTAGGTTATGCAATACCCCAGCACAAGTTTAAAGTTTCATTGATTTAATGAGATGATGGCTGTATTTGCATATCTCAATCTACCTTTCTTGTTTTTTTCAGCTGTCTTCTCCTTATTGTTTTCTCTGCTCTTTGTTTTCTCCTGATCAGGCAGGGAACTCATATTTATTAGAGCCCGTGTTGCTGTCACTTCATCAAGCCAGACCACATTACCTGGGACAAAGAGAAACACAAAACCCAAATGCAGTTGGTGTCATCAAGGAGTCACATCCCCCTTGTCTTGCTGGAAGGAAATTGACAAAAATTTAGAAATGACAGAAAAGCTATCAGATCTCTTGCAGGGAAAGTCATATTCTTGAATACACCTGATAAGCTGGAGGACACACAATTTTCAGCTGGTTACAAAACACAAGAGCTGGTCAAAACCCCAAAATCACTGAAATGCACAACCATAGATTTGAGAGGCTTCCTGAAAATAGCAAATTAGGGCACTGGATCGGGGTCAGTGGATCCATGTGTTCCCACAAAAATGTGATTAAAGGAACAGCAGGGGGCAGGAATGAAGCCTGGATATTTTTCCCCTTTAGCAACTTAACAGAACCTTGGACTTGACTGCAGAATTCTGTTAATCTTTTCCAAAAAGCAGGAAAATAGGAGGGAAATAGGAGACTGCTCAAGCACTTTGCACAGATTTTAAAGTGCACAGGTTCACAACATCATTCAGGATGTGCCCTAAGTATCAGCAGATGGTACTAAAATATAACTTATTAGGCCAATTAAAAGCATTTCATAGATGTTGAAATTAAAAGAGCTAAAACTGCTTAGGAATAGGATTTGAACAAAAGCTTTCTGCACTTAGTACAAATACAGCAACAAATGTCTCTGTTCTGCTGTTAAGCAGAGTGGATTCAGATATTAAGAAAACTGTACAGTGACCCAAAATAAGGGAATCTCTCTTAAATGACTCAGACAGGAATTACAAGGTGAAGAACGCACAGATATTAACTTCAATAATTGGTTAATAAATCTATTTTTTTTTTCAGTCTGTCTAATATTCCCATCTCCAAATTTCCAAAACCTTTACCATTTAATCAGTTTGAAACACGAAACACTAAATCCACCTTTGCACTAAGTCACCTTAAGATGTAATTCAATTGGGAACACTTAAGATTTTGCCATGATGCTAATCTATGCTGAAAAGAAAAAGCATTTTCTTGATATTTTCACCAAGTGTAGCTGACATGGTAACTCAGACACAGCATGAAAATTCACCATTAAAAAAAGATGTGTAATAGCTATAACTGGGTATTGTTGCAACCCCAAAGCCTTAATTTTCACATGAATTTACTCATGTAGCATTTAAGAAAACACAGTCTTCGAAATGAAGCCTCAGATGGAGTTAAGCTGTGCATTCCCAAGCTCATGCATCAGCACAGGTCCATCCAGCAGCTCTGTACTGTAATTATCCACCCAGGGCTCATTGGGTTTCACATTTTCTATCAGCTTGTGCCAGCACTTCAAGTTGTCACATACACTGACTTCAAGGTCACCAGTATTTTGTAGAACACCATCTATTTTGTCTTGCACTGGAATAGAATTTCTTCAGGGTCACTCCAGAGAATGAAGCTACTGATTCTCAGCTTTTAGCCATGCTTGTCAATAAGTTTCCAGCTATTTGGAAAACCCTGCACTGGCTCCCATTTCTTATGTGATTTCAGGCACAATCTCAGAGTATTCCAGTTCCATGATCCACAAAAAAACTCTTCTACAGCCTTCAGAGTCGGTGAGGAAAGCCCAGCTCTCCACCACCTTTGATCTTGCTGATGTCACTCCCCAAAACAGCCCTCACCACGTGTACCCACATTCCTTTTCCAGCCCATGGAAATCACACCCAGCTGCCACCTCCTTCCACCCACCCATTTCTCCTGAAGCATGCACTACACGAATATGGCAACAAATCTCCTCCTCCTCCTCCTCCTCCTCCTCCACACAAAACCATCCCAACCTGCCCAACTGCACAGTTCAATTACCCTCTCTAAGATATATTATTTATGTCAAGATGGAAGCGGCACAGAATTTTAGATCTTTTTCCCCTTAGAGATACAGCTGTGACCAGGTTTAAAAAAAAAAAAAAAAAAAAAGAGTAAGAATTACAAATACTCTGTTTACTTACATGAGGTATCATCCAGCCACTCAATATGAGCAGGAGGATACTCTTTGAAATAGGCAAAGATGTCCTGGGTACTCATCTCATCCACTCCACAAATGTAAATGGTGTCCAGTCTTACTTTAGGAATTGCTAGAAAGAGAAAAAGACACAAGGTGGTACTTATGCCAAGCTTTCAGATTAGTAAAATGTGAGTTTATAAGGCAGATACTCTAAATAAACAAAAGAGGAATTAATTTAATTGAGACATGACATAGACCATAACTTAATTTATTCTTCCACAATGCAAAAGTTCAATACATTTGGAATTAAAAGAGATTATAAGCACTGGTAGATACAGAGACTGCACAGCAACCAAACAGCTTGAAAAACATTTTTTTCCTCTTTGAACACTGCTGAAGTGCTATCATTAAGTGCTAAAGAGCCAGAACAAAACAAGGGCCTGCACAAAGCACTTCCACTTGTATCACCTGATGGGGAGCTGTTCCAGGCCACAGCTTAGCAGGTCCAAGCTGCCAATTGGAAAAAAGCCTTGAGAACTAACTCAAGTGCCAAAAGCACCAATCTGTTGTGCACACATCTCCTGGCTTCAGTTCCAGCTTGCCATCAGTGCAGCTTCACTGTGTGTACAGCACAGAGTCTGATCTCCCTGTGCACAGGACACAGAGTCCTCCACATGTACCCACACACTGCTCCAGGGATTTTACAAAGCATTTAAAGACCCTTAAAGCAGCACTGATCCAGAAGGTGAATCTTGGGCATGCAGCACTAGTAAATAAGGCACACAAAAAATGTCTTTGTGTTGGGGTTGGTAAAACAAAGAGTGAACTGGCAAGTGTCACACAGGTTAAAAAATAATGACGTGCAAAAGAAAAGGTGGAAAAACCGCGAAGTGATTCCTTTCAGCAGTAATTTGGAAAAACCTCTGGGAATGTGGAAACTATTGCAGGATAAATCAAGTCAAGACACTGTGAGGAAGTAACTAAAGAGGTCTTTGCTCCTGACTGCTAGATGAACTCGTACCTTTCTTCATCATGTCCCGGTCCAGGGCCACGTTCCTCTGGGCCAGATTCACCTCAGCCCGAAAATGGAAGCGTTTAGCTCTTTGTTCCTTCTTCTCAATTGCTTCCTGCAAAATGCAAAACAATGCACTCAAACAGGAATCAGGAGAACCCTCAACAAACTCCACTGAGGATATTTAAAATCTACCAGACAGCAACAATTTATGTTAATGATTTTATTAATTCTGGAGAGAGATAGGTTTCAGAATGTGCAGCAGTAGTTCACCAAAATATTTCAGTGCCACAGACCAGTTTTTGTGTAGGTTCAGCCGTGGCAATCAGGATGCATGGAAAACAAGGTATCTTGGACAACACAGACTCCATCATGGAACAGGAACATTATCTAGTCCTTGCTAACAAATATTAAACACAACCTCTCTTCTAAAAGAAGCCTTTCTACCACAAGCGAAATTCATCTTTGAAAATTACAGAGTTTTTAAAAATATATACAAAGGTGTGAATTTGTTTCTCTAAGCATGAATTTAACACTGGAGAGCTGGCTCCAGAGAACATTTTAGACTGGTAACTCAGGCTCCTCTTACGTAGCTCATGAGCAACAGCCTGCCTGGAACTTGTGCAGTTTTGGGAACTGGATGAGAAGCTCCTTGTTCTCCAGATTTTATTAGGAAGCATTCTAGGTTTTTGGATCTTTGGAATACGCACTGTGATTCACGCCAGCTGTCTGAACACCAGGCTAAGCCTTTGTGCATATTGGGGAAGAAATGAAATGGTTCCACTTCTCCAGTGGCAAAAATGACATAATGTTGAAAAGCACAAAAATTACCTTGGAGGTTACATCTATTCCAGTGATGAAACTTCCAGCTTTGTTTTCATATCTCCTACTGGTGTCCTGAAACAAAGCAAAACAGTGATGAAATCTCAATGAGCACTGAAAGCAACACACTTGTTACACTGAAAGAGGCACCTGATTATTTCTACAAGAAATAGATCCTCTTTTCCTTGATTCAAGCTACATTCCTGGACAGAGAGGCACTCTGATGTCAGTGAAAGTAAAAGCACATGAACTGAACCAAACTTCCCTCATTGTAAGGATTGTTTCTTTCTACAGAATTTAGTTTCTCTATCAGCTGCTGCCAAGCTTTTACAAGCTTACAATTCTCTCAGCAATACAGAAAAAGTCTTCAAACATCTTTCCCATGTAAGACTTCCACAATTTTGGGTTTGGGTATACTTTCCTTGTAAAACATGAGCAGATTTAACAGTGATATCTGACTACTGAAATGTCAGTTTGCAGCTTTTAATCTCAGAAAGTGAGAACACCAAGCTACATCCACAATGAAACAAGTAAATTTTATTCCTATCATTATTTCAACCCCAAATTCCAAATACCAAGGTGAAACACTACTGTTTTGATACTGAGGGATGGTAAAATCGGAGAACGAGGGGGGAAAAAAGTACAAGTTTCCTCTCTACCAGTCAGGACTGATGAATTCAGAGAGGGACTAAACTCCACAGCCCCTGGACCAATGACCCAATTCTGTGCCATCCACTGTCTGCATCATATCTAATGGCACCTCCTCATGCTGACACCATCAACTGGCAGAAGTTTGGAGCTGGAAGAACACCTCTTGCTTTCTTTAGGAGTAAACGTGTTCTTTACACTTGTGCTGCAAGAATTACTTTGGCTAAAGGACCATTTCTAGAAGTAGGTTAGTCTCAGTTTAGAAAGACTGAAGAACACACACAATCCAACTGCTTTTCTTAGTAACAGCATCAAATTCCTCTAACGTTGCCAAATGGTCAGAGTTACTAGAAAAAGAAAAGCAAAATAAACATGATTTTTAAAGCTGAAACCCCCCACTGTCTGAGGTTGACTCACGGAGCACAAGGAAGTACAGCACGGTGCTGTCTCTCAGGCCACATGTTGGGTAGAAGCACAAGCACGTTGGTAGACCAACTAATTAAAGATTAGCTTCCGAACCAATTTTCACCCAAGTTTTGAGAGCAAAAGTGTACTTAGGATTTTAGAACCGTGACCCATTTTTAGTCGTTAAACCTAATCCTACTAAAACTTGTACAGAAACAATCAGCGAGAGTGAAAAAGGGCAGAAAAACATCAGGAAGGAAACCCCCAAACCCCGCTCATCCAAGCCCACACTCCGAGCTCTGCTATCCCGCGATCAGCCTCTGCTCCCCGCTTCAGGTATTCCCTGTGTTCCCTGCATCAAACATCCCCTGTCCACTCTCCCACCCACAGCCTCCTCTACACCCCAACACTGCACCCCAAATCCTGTTCTCCACCGCCTCCTTTATTCCATTCCTTCCCAAGCACATCCCGCCCGCTTTCTTAGGACTCGCCCCCGAGTCCCCTCATATCCCCGCTCCCACATCCCCGCTTTTCCCAAGAATCGCCCCCCAAAAGCTCACAGAGCGCTCAGACACCCCCAACCGCCGGACCCAGCCCCTCCTCGCCCACACCTCTCGGCCCTCACCGGGATGAGCTCCCGCAGCGAGCGCCTCACAGGGATGGTCTCCAGCTCGCCCTCTTCCACCTCCATGGGCTCGGGCTCGGGGCCGCGCGGCTCCGCCGTGGTCGTGGTCGCCTCCGCCTTCACCGAGATCCGCAGGCCCCGCACGGCCGCCATGGCTCCGCCAGGCCCGCCCAGCGCGGCCAGCGAGACGAGCGCGGCGCGGAACAGAGCGGCGGGGCGGCTCCGAGCGCGGAGAGCGGCCAGGAGCGCCGGGCGGGCGGAGCGCAGCGGCCCGGAGCGCCGCCCGCAGCACCGCCCGGCCCGGCCCCGCCGTGCGCCGCCCCGGGGCACCCCGACATCGAGCCACCCCCGAGAGCCAGCCGAGCCCTTCAACCCAGGGCGCCTCGAGCCCGGCACACCCTGAATCCGACGCATCCCCTGAGCCCAGCGCGCTCCGAACCCAGCACACCCCGAGCCCGGGGCACCCCGAATCCAGCGCACGCCCGAGACCCAGTGGACCCCGAGCCCGGTGCACCCCTTCAGCCCAACGCACCCGGAGCCCAACGCAACGCGAAACCAACGTACCCCGAATCCAACGCACCCCCGAGACCCGGCGCACCCCTGAGCCCGGCACATCTCGGGCTGGACGGAGCCGGTTCATGGCCCAGGGGCTCAGGGTGGAGAACGGCCACAGAGACCGGGCAGAGCGCGGCTATAGCAGGCGAGAGGGCAGCCCCGCCGTGTCCTTGCGTGTCCCCGGCCCCGGGGAAAGGCACACGGAGAGCAGACAAACACAGAACTTAAGTCCTTCCAAAAAAAGGGCTGTTTTTTTTTTTTAACTATCTGAACTCTAATGTTCAATTTCCCCGTCCATACTAGCAGAATGTTACACCTCTGATAAAATCAAACTGATTCTCAGCTCGAAGTTCTCTGCAGTGTTGTGTCCTGCTGTTCCGAGGCTCAGTTATTCTCTTTGTCCCCTTGTCCCAAGGTGTTCAGGTTCCAGGAGAGCAGCCTTGACTCCTCTTGGCCTGAAGAGACCGCACCTTTCACCAGTCCCCATGAGACAAGTTCTTCATTCCCTTATTTACACTAATGAGCTCCATTCCCTCACACACAGCAGACCAGAGCCCTGTTCTAGCTGAGGAGTTGCTCCTGCCTTGGCATCATTATTTCACACCACAACTGCCAGGCTACACAACCACATCCCATTGTCATTGTGTGTTATAATCACACCACTAAGAATTCCTATTACTTCTCCAGCTGCAGGACCCTTTTCTCCAGCTCAGGCTGCTCCACACCTCATTTCTGCACACGTTACAAATAAACCCTCTCCAGTCCATCCCCTGTGACACGTCACTTTCCCTCTGAACTGATGGTACTACCCACAAAAATTCAAATTTAGATTTTGTCACAAAGACATTTCCCAGCTGGCAGCAAAAAGGCTCCTCCCCTTACACAAAATCCAGTGGGGTCAAGAGCTCATTCTACCCATCACTCATGCCAAGATTATTTATTCTCAAGTCTTCACACAGAGCTTGTTACACAATGGCTCATGTCACTGTTCACCAAAAGTGCTACATTTGGCGCTGACATCCCACAGCAGCACCTGGCAGGAACTTCTGACACAGGTGACACTTCCAAGCCAGGTGTGAAGCCAGGTTCCAGGCCACGTGAGATGAAGAAAAGGAATAAACAGGGCACAGGCACCTCTTGCGAGCAGCTGAGCCTGAACTAATTGCGAGAAGAAACATTTCTGAGGAAGAAATGCTGTTTCTTCAGGTCACAGGGAAAAGAAACCAAGAGATGGAACTTTTCCTCCTTTAGTTTTAGTTTAGTAAGTAGGACACAGTATTGCCATGTGATCTGGACCAGCCTGACAAAGCCAAACCCTTCATGGAGCAGTTGGGACAGGGTTACATGACACCAGGTCACCTTGCACCGCTGTCAGCAGAGCACAGATGGACCTTGGGCTAACCCAGGTGTTTCCTGATTTTGTTTTAACATCCCGTGGATGTCACCTCGGGCAGAACATTGCTGTTCTACAGCCCTCCATACTTGGCACCTTTTCAAGATTCACTCACTGCACTCAGCAAGAAACTTTCTACTGATTGACTGTGGCTTTAGACACACTGCCAAAATTTTAGAGCTTCTTAGGAAGGAACAGTCTCTGGCTAACTGTAGGGACAATAAAATCAGGAGAGGGAAACCAAACCTGGGTACCAGTGAGGCTTTTTACTGCCAGGTGGGTGAATAGAATGTTTTCACAACATTTTGTAATTCCTTTCAGGATCTTGTCATTAACAGTGAATTCTTCAGCATTCCAAGCTGATTTAGTTTTATTCTTCTGCGACTGTGTCCCAGACCTTTGATTTTCTTTCACATTCCTCTCTGCAATCCCTCTGCCTGTGAAAGACCACCTGGACTTTTAAAATGTTAATTGTTTTCAAACCTGTAGGAAGCAGATTTGGGCAGAAGGACTCTGCCTTGTTGTAGCCTTTGTGCAGCAGGGATGGGTCAAGGGTAATAAAGTACTGAGGGATGCAGCATTTAAATAGAGGAGGAAAAAGAAATTTGGGGACGGCTACCAGTCATTACCAGAAATGCAAAGTAAGGCTTTCAAAAATAATGAAGGTGAGAAAAGATGTGGACAGCCTGAAAGTGATTAAGGCCAAGTTGGATGGAGCTCTCAACAGCCTGCCCTAGTGGAATGCCCTGGTGTCCACGGCTGGGGGCTGGACCTGGATGATCTACGAGGTGCCTTCCAACCCAAACTATTCCATAATCCTATGAAATCATTCCAGCATAAAAACACACCACGGGAGGGACTTAGGGCAGGAGCGTTATTGGTTTCCTGGCTTTGACCAACAGAGGGTGCTCGTGCAACAGAATTCCCAGCGTGAGCGAAAAAACCTGATGGAAAACACCAATTGCTGCAATTTTGGGATCAGCTGAAAACAGGAGATAGGGACCGGGAAGGGAGGGGAAAAAGAACAGTCTGTGGGCCCTCAAAAAAGGAGACGTTTTTGCATGGTCTGTCAGGAGTCAGAAAAATGGTGAACTTTGCCCTAATAAAGTATTGGTTGATTAGTTAGTTAGTTCGTTAGTTAGTCTGTGGTCTGTGAACACTGAACAGAACGGACAGGTGTTCCTGCAGTTATGATTTAACTCTCCTGCCATCCTGGGCTCTCAACAAGGATCTGCAGCTTTTCACATCTGTGAAAAACCCATGAAAGTGTGTGTGCTGTTCCTGCAGCTGGCCAGCAAACCCCACATGTCACCACGGAAACTGGGACGGGCTTCCAAATGGATCATGGATCAGGGCTCACTCCTACCTCCAGTCCATCTGAAGAGTGAACAGCATCAGCAGAGGAAGGATGTTCATTAGTGAGGCTGAAACCAAGCACCTGGTGTTCTTTTATGGATTTGATGAACCACAGGCTCCTCACCTGTAAGACAGAATATTTTCTCACTGGGATACTGTGAAGGTTAGTACAGCCATGACACACTGCCAGAGTCCCATCCAGGAGACAGCTACAAAAGGAGACAGGCACTACAAAAAAGCAGGATATTGGGAGGCAGGGAGGAGCACAGCACCCTCACAGCCAGGGACAGCTGTGCTCTAACATTGTTTATGCCAGTGCCACCACAGGGAGACCACACAGTTGAAAAAGCACATTCCTTTCTGGGAAAAAACACACAGAACTGAGCAGAGCTGGAGCAGAATTCTACATACATTGACAGATATTACTCTGAGATTTAAGAGATCTTGGAGAATGATCTAAAAGTGGTAAATACTGCTGTTTCTTACAGATATAATTCTTAATTTGTGCATGCCCACACACACATGCTTCCCCTGTGGCACCAGTAGAACTTAAGCTCTTCCCTGCTGTCGACCTCTGTGGTAATTCAGCCAGTGAACTGCCCTGAATAAAATGAAACTTTTTGTTTCACAAGTCTATTTTTAACCCAGAACAGCTCGTTGGCCCAATTCAGTGTGTAGTCCCATGAAAAGCAGCTGTGCTGGCACAGCTGTGGGGTGGGAATATGTGGTTGGCAGGGAGGATAAGGACAGAAGCTGCTGGCACAGCCCTGAAGGAAAACAGAGTGAGCTGCAGCCTTTAATATATAGAATCACAGAATATCCTGACCTGGGAAGGACCCACAAGGATCATCCATTCCAACTCCTGGCCGTGCACAGACACCCCAACAATCCCACCCTGTACATCCCTGAGTTCCTGGAGCTCTGGCAGCCTTGGGGCTGTGCCCATTCCCTGGTGAGCCTGGGAAGTGCCCCAGCACTCTTTTGGGAAGAACCTTTTCCTAATATCCAACTTAACCCTCCCGTGGCACAGTTCCAGCTATGGTCCTGTCACCCTCAGGTCCTGTCCCTGGTCACAGAGCAGAGGTTGTTGCTGCCCCTCTGGAGGATGTTGAAGACCACAATAAGGTCTGACCTCAGTCTCCTCCAGGCTGAACAAACCAAGTGACTTCAGTCCATTCTCACAAGGCTTTCTCTCCAGACCCTTTCCCATCTTTGTAGGCTCCTCAGGCAGGGAATGGTGTGGCAGCAGGGCCAGGGAAGGGATTGTCCCCCCGTGCTGGGCACTGGTAAGACCACATTCGAGTGGTATGTCCAGTTCAAACCCCCTCAGGAAGGACTTCGAAGGGCTGGAGCATGACCAGAGAAGGGGACAAAGCTGGGGAAGGATCTGGAGCACCAGGAGAGGCTGAGGGAGCCAGGAGGGCTGAGCCGGGAGAAGGGGGGATCTTCTGGCTCTCCAGAGCTGCTGGAAAGGAACTGGACCCAGGTGGGGGTCGGGCTCTGCTCCCAGAGAACAAGGGACAGGACAAGGGGAAACGGCCTCAAGCTGTGTCAGGGGAGGTTTAGGCTGGACACCAGGAGGAATTTCTTCCCAGAAAAGGTCATTGGACATTAGAACGGACTACCCTGAGATGCGGCGGAGTCACCGTGCTCGGAGGTGTTCAAGAAACGACCGGACGCGGCACTGTGACCTGGTTAACAAGGTGTTTCGGTCACGGGTGGGACAGGATGATCCCAGCGGTGTTTCCTAGCGGTGTTTCCCAGCCCGATCCGCGCTGGGGCTCCGCCGCTGTTCCCGCCTCCCCTCACAGCCCGCCCTCGCACCCACCCCCCGCCCCGCCCGCGCGGGGAGATGACGTCACGCCTCCCAG